TGAATCTGTTAATTTAGTTTCTCTCAATTTCCCAGTTTCCCAGTGTTGTTCAGTTCTCCTCGTCACATTTCCACATCAATTTGCAATTTATTTATTTATTTTAAAAGTCTTCATAAAAATCCATCGACATTTTAGTGTGACATTCTCTAACATGCACATTTTTGTATGCAATTTTGCCTAACAGACACATTTTTCCAAAGCATTTTTCTCTAGTATAATGCATTTATCTATGGAATATTCACCGAAGAAGGTATTTTTTAAACTGACACTACCCCTTGCGAATACATTTTTGCACACATTATTTTACTAGAGAATTGTATTGCAAAATTTGGAGAAGTGGGACTTTTGAATGATTACTGTGTTCTGCTTCAAGTGTTATTTCAGAAAATGCAAATTAGGGAGATTCGCCTTTGAATGCAAACTGAATCAAATTTATCCTCCTTCCCAAAGAAGAGCTGCCAGAGCTCAAATTTGAAGGTGATGAGATATGGAACTCGCAAGCCTCTCCCCTTTTATTTTATTTGTTTATTTATTTGCTACCTTATCATAAAATATCAAGGTGGTCACACTATTTAAACACAAAACATCATTTATTTGTTTAAAATACAGATAATCATTGAATCTGTGGCTCAAAGCAGTGGGATATATCAGCCTCATATAACTAATATGCTTAAGTCTAATTAATGCATGAAGGGGTTAATACTATAGAGTGAGCTGCCCTGCCAGGCTTAGCTAGATCACACACCCTCACCTTGGGAGGAAGTGTTATGAAAGCCTTTGTTATCTCTCTTTTCTATCATGTAACCAACTAGTAAGTATGTCTGAGCTTGTTGCTCCAAGTCCAGACCATGTGACTTTAGCAAGCCATCTATGTGTTTCTATACAAATAATTTAGAAATATTGACCAAATATGAACTAAGTTGTACTACCTGTCTTTTCTTGCTGCTGTATTAAAAAAACACATGACTCTGACCTTTGAAGAGTTTGTAAGTAAACCATTTTTAACTTAGCCAAACATGCATTCTCTTTCTATGCTAGTGGAAGTGGGAGACTTTGGAAACAACTTAGAATGGGATATTTTAGACTCTATATTTCCACACTTAACATTATTGCATGTTTCATGATTACAAATCTCTGCTGGGGTTCTCTCACCAAAGAGTACTTGCTCCAAACCTGGATCTAGGCATCCAGGGAATTCTCATTTTATTCTTTAATCAAAATAAACTAAAATAAGAACAAAAGGAACCACTATACTCAGTTATCATGTATCTTTGAATACCACCTGGTGGGGGGCAACCACAGAGATGGGGAACTTCAGGCCCAAGACAGAAATGAAGGACCACCAGGTCTTTCTGTGTGGCCCTTGAGCATCTTCCCAGGATTTCTGTCTTCCCCCAGGATCACCCCTAACTTCTTGTTAAGGTCAGTTGTGCCTCTGTAACATAGATGACAGCAGCACTCCTCTGCATGATTTCAAACTCGGCTGAGGCTTAAGGTTTAAGTTATTCTGGCCCCCAAGTTGTTCAGGGCTTTAAACCCAAATCATGCATCTCACAATTTTCTAAAAAATAAAATAAAAAAGTCCTTAAGGGGTGCCCTCTTGCTGAAATTCATCTACCAGTGCGGAACTGGGAAGGATCAATTCAAAAAAGGGATAGTCAATTTGTGTCCTGCAGAGTAGATCTGACACCCCCTACAGCAAAGTTGTTGGGTCCTGGTGATTCAACCAAAATGTTTTCATGTTAGGAACATAACCTCACATCGTCAGACCAGGGTTTGCTCCAAGCCTTACCTTTAGATGCTGAGGAGTGTTTACTGGGACCTTCTGCATGCAAAGCAGAGGCTCTGCAAACCACTGGAATCTAAAACTGCAATGTTCTTCATTCATATGTGGGAATAAACCCCACCAAACAGTGCAGCTCTTAATTGGAAGTCAACATGAATAGGATTACACTGTAGATTTTACCGGCACAACCCTAATTCATGCCAATGTTTCCCTACATGCGCTATCAGAATTCAAGGACTGGGGCAGAAATACTGCAATAAATGAGCTGCCTGATTATTTGCCAAAAACGTTAACAAAACCACCAACATTGTATTCTTTTAAAGCCTCAGCAGTGTGTGCAGGTTTAATCAAAGCACAGAAGAAAGAGGGGGGAAACATACCATGTTCATACAACAGCTTGACTCCAAGCACTTTCTTGTTGCTGTTGACTTTTTACTATTATTATGTACGTTGGATGGCTTTTCTCTCTCTCTTTGTAAACCTTTGTGAGAACAACTTGATTGGCTGCAGTGTATTTTACTCACATGAAAATGTCAAACCAAAGGATGCTGTAAAAGAAAAGCAGAAGAAATACTAAGAGAATTTTTAATATCATACTGGATGCCTTGCTCCTCTGATGGTCAGTGGAAGTGTGAGGGTGGGGTGGGATCTAGATTACTGAAAAAGAAGGGCACGAGGCACTGTAATCTTTGTAGTCTCCTGCACAAAGTATATCTTCTACACCAGGGGCATATGCTTGCTTTTCATAGAATCATAGAATTGTAGACTTGTAAGGGACCCCGAGGGTCATCTAGTCCAACACACTGCAATGCAGGAATCTTAGCTAAGGCATCCATAACAAATGACCATCCAACCTCTGTCTAAACCTCCAATGATGGAGAGGTGGGGGAATAAACTCCACCAAACACGGTTGTGGGTTTAAGCCCCATGTAGAGCAAAATATTCCTGCATTGCAGGGGGTTTGACTTTGTGGTCCCTTACAACTCTACACTTCTAAGATCTGGAGCATGGAAGGCAGATAGAGAGTATATGGGAGGTTCTAAACTCAGGTAATTGGGTCAGGGAGCTGGAATACTGGATAGGGAAAGTAATAACTGACTGTCAGAAATATGGCCGGCAGAGAGGAATCTGCGGGGGGGGGGGGCAGAGGCAGACGAACTTGATTTGTTCACACAACAAAAGTGAGATAAGCCCTTCTTGCTCTGGATTGCTGCCTGTTTTCGTAGCAGCACAGAGATGAAAGAGCAGGATGCAGGTGGTAGTAGGGAGTTGGATTCAACTCCAGAGGAGGAGAAATCGGCTGCATCTGAGTCTCCAAGAAGTAGGAGGCGGAGCAAGCAATTAGAACAAAGGAAGACTAGCAGGAAGTGTATATCTGGCCTTGGAAGGGGCCGGAGGCCAGTCGAGTCAACTGAGTCTGACAGTGAGGAATGAGTTGTGGGAAGCTTGGATTGCTGTAAGCCTGTTGTGGATAAATAAACCTCAACTACTTGAACTGCCAGTGTGTCGTGTCTTGTGTGTGAGAAGTGCTAAACCTGACATTGACCAAGAGGATCTGGGAGCACTGAAGGTGGACAAGTCCTGGAGAAGTGATGAGCCCAAAGTTGTCACAGCTGAATGGCAATTTGATCCTATGTCTTTTAAACTCTATTGCAGTAGCTGCATTTGAACTTTATTTTTTCTATTTTTCATTTTAATGTGCAGTGAGAAAGATTTCATCACATTTGCTGAATGTTTGGGGAAAGGGTTGGGGGCAGAAGAGAGAGGAAATGAAAAATATTCCAAATCATGTAGCCAGAAATCTTTGATGAGAACTTGGAAGCAGGTCAAGACACCCACAGAAGGAATAAAGACTGTTAGCAGGAGGGGTTGCACCAGCACTTTATATACAAGCTGGTCAAACGCCAGAAGGATATGACTGGAATAACTTAGGCTACCCCAATTAGTCCTACTAGGTGAGGACTAATTGAGTGAGATCAAAGGAATGAAGAGTTGTTAGGATAAATTGCCAGCCTGGCAGAATAAAGCCCTTGCAATGGGGTACAAAGGACATATTAGAGGAATCTTCCGAGCTGTTGTACCTTGTGCCAGGAGCAGTGTTGCCTCCCCTTCTGAAAACATCCCCTGAAGGTGCCTATTTGGCCTCTCCTATAAAGGATTAGCAAACGGTATTTGAAATGAAACAATTAATTAATCCTGCATGTTTGCACTGCAGTGCCAGCCGACTCATTTATCTCAACTAGTTTGGGACATGTGCCACTCAGTATTTCATTTTGCAGATACTGAATGTTTAGGGACAGTATCAGTGATTGACTCATATTAGGTAATAGGTTTCTTCTCATGCGTATGACCAACATTGTTCAGATATTGTCTGGGGTGATGGATATTTTGCCATTGTTCCCCTGCTTGCAAGCACCGGGGCAGGTTTATCTTCCCCTTTCCAGATCCCAACTGCTCCTTTTCACCAACTTAAAGCATCTGTCCTGCATGAAAATGTGTTGAACAGGAAGATGGAGCAATAGCTGGAATCATCCCTCAAGCTGCATTAACGTACTAGGTCATAAGCTGCAGCATCCCAGGATGGAACTGAAATAAATTTAAGGAAGGGTAACAGGAGCAAATATAAATTTAAATACCTGTGATTAGCATTATTCTCTCTCTCTCTCTCTCTCACACACACACACACACACCAGCAACAGCAGCATTTCCGAATTTTGGATACTGATTGCTCTGCAACGATATGTCACAACTGAACATGGAATCCCTTCTTTTGGTGATGCCTCCTCCCACTACTAATGTCCATCATAGTCCACCCACCCATTTGTTTTATATATATATATATATATATATATATATATATATATATATATATATCCTGGTGCTCCAGGACTGAGTAGCTTCTGGCCAGCAACTTGCACTTCACTGCAGAATCTCACTCCAGAGCACTGCAGAGAGGAAAGACAGCTGTAGCCAAAGAAACTCTACTCCATTCCTGCCACTGCCACCTGCTCTTCCAGCTGCAGAAGAGCTTTCCACTAGGAGGGGGTGGGGCAGATGTAGGCATCAGAAGAAGGCAAAAGCTGTAAGCTGTGAGCCAGGCGATTTGGCCTTACCATCATTTGGCCATGATGGTATTGATACTCATCTTTTGCTTGGTTGTGGAAGGGTATTTGTTATTATAGAGGAAGCACTAGGGAATGATATTGATGGAGAAGGACCGTAGCTCAGTGGTAGGACATTTGCTTCGCATGCAGAAGGTCCTAGGTTCAATTCCTGGCATCTCCAGATAGGGTTGGGAATGTTTCCTGTGTGCAGCCCAGTTTTTTAATGGATTTGTTTTACTTTTGTCATTTTGAAACATGTTTGTTGTAAAAAGCTATGAAATGATGATGATGATGATGATGATGTCTGACAATCCAGGTTACAAGGTAGGTCCAAAGCGATAGCAGTTTTCTCTTAACCACCTGCCTTTGACTGCAAGCAGGCTGGGACAAAGCTGTTCAGGACCTGAAAGTATTCAAGACTGGTTAGCAAACAGAACTCAGGACTCTTTCAATGATGCAATTATACTATGTGTGCACACGCACACTTACAGATGAGCTTGCCTATCTTGCTCGTCAATGAAATTGATGGTACCCAAGGGAGAAAATGACCTCTAAGGTTCTGTATATAATTCTTTGTAAATTTTGTTGCATGGTGAGAATTCAAAGCAGCTCTTGCTCATCAAACAACCTGAAGTACAATTTAGTCTTACAAAGAGATGATCCTCTATTTTTTGCTCAGTCCCAGCCCCCAGCCCTTCCTCTTTTGCAGAAAAGGAAAGGTTGTAGCTAAACCCAAAGCCACAAGGGCATCATTTTAAGTTATGGTACTTTGGAAAGATATCTGTTAAACCTGTTTGCCTAACAACACAAGATCAGGTACCTATTGTATTCTTGTTCAAAACTATCATTTATCTTAGACTGGAGAAAGCTACCATGACCTTTTTTCTTTTCTTTTTCTTTTCTTTTTTCCTTTTTAAAGAAAAAAAGTCTTTGAGAACAAATTGGATGTGGTGTAACAAGAAGTTCCCTTTTTATGTATTCTCCACTTTGGGATATGTCTTTGATAAGAAAGGCACTATGCTTATCTACCAACACTAGAAGCCGAGAGGGGAAGATTGTAGGAGCTGATTTCATTAAAAAGTAATGAGAGGCAGTGGTAGTAGATGGGATTCAAGGTTTTGTACTCTTGGGCATTTGATTCTCCCTCTACCCAAAGAAGAAGTATCTTATTTGAACAACCACATTGTGAGAACCTGATGAAGGATTCTGCTTAAGTGAGGACTGCAGTTGCTTCTACCATTAATTGATTGATCCAGCAGTGCCACTTAACAGCCTGTGAACGGAATCCAGCTTGCAACATGATCCTATCCCTCCACATCAATGACATATGATTCTGGGTGCTAATGCGTATCTGCAAAGGAGGAGCCCATTCTTGACATTTTACTGCTTGCCGTGGAAGATAAAATGATGCTCCTATTCCCCCTGCTCTTTTAAGTCAAGGTGCATAAAACCCAAGATGAATCAAGTTGTTTTAGTGTCTCAGGCTGAAAATTCAACAAGCTCCTCTCTCCTTCCCTGAGAGTGACAATGGTATTATAAAAAATTAAATAACTATCAGTTGACTGCCCCTTCATAATAAGAACCAGCTGCTTGAAGCAGCCATCTCATAGGAACATGAAAAAGCTGCCTTGTTTTTGAGTCAGATCAAAGTTCCATCTAGCTCAGAACTAAGAGAGTGGTTCTTTGCAATTTCACACAGCGGACATTCCCAGCTCTTCCTGGAGATCAGAAAGTCTGGTGCCCGTTGGGATTCATAGGGCAGAAGGCAGGGAGACCAACAGTAGGTGAAGTCAAATCCATCCTGCTCCTCCTCATTAGAGGTAGGTAGCCGTGTTGAAGAAGTGTGCATTCACATGAAAGCTCATACCAATAACTAACTTAGTCGGTCTTTAAGGTGCTACTGGAAAGAATTTTTTTATTTTTTTATTTTTTATATTTTGTTTTGTTTCTCCTCCTTCTTGTGTGTGGACTTGCAATGGTATTGCTGTGCTTACTGCATTCATCATGGCTTTCACGAGTTAATGATCACTATTATTTGAACTTAAGGGGTTTTGAGAGCTCTGTTGACATGGAGGCAAGGCTAGTGCTGAGCAGAATGAGAACTTCCAAATCCAATCTTTGCCATGGGATGAGGGGAACCAAAATGAAGACATGTCTAAAACATATCACCACTACCATAAATCCTTTCTCAGGTGTCACTGGCTGATAGCTGCCACTAAAAAAAAATGCCATGTGATGATTTAGTATTGCTATAACAGCTTTAACAATGCTGCCCTCGTGGAAACTTCTGATAAAAAAGCAAAAGGGGGAGAGCAGCTAGTCCACTGGGGACCACTATTTCCCATCAGCAGTAATGTAGGAATGGATAACTTCAGGCTCAGGGGTCAAATGTGTCCCTCCAGGTCATTCTATCTGACCCTTGTGACTCTTATCAGGCTACACTCTTCCCCAGCCACACTTTCTTTCCACATTTTTGCCTCTGGCTCCACCCACCACTGGCTGTGTCCCCCAGGAAGAATGCAGGGAAAGGTTCCCAACCTGAAGTCATGCTTCATTATCGATTAGCATGGGAATGCTAATTGGGCTTTGGGAAGGAAGAGGAAATGGTGGCAGCTGTGAGGTGGACCTCTGATGATGAGCAGTGAGTTTTGCACTTATAAGATGAAGCCAGTACTAACCATCAGTACTCAGCTACGTTTGTTTGTTTGTTTATTTGTTTTGCCAATAGCACCAGTCATATTTCAAAGGTTATTCCACAATTTTGGAGTTAACCCAGAGAAAGCCCATATTATTGTGTGCATTGGTACAAAATGATATATAAAAAGAATTTTGAAGTAACCAGGTTGCAATGAGTTTGGTCTGAATGTTCTCTATGAGGGGTTCTTCCACTAACCCCATGACTCTGATTTGTAAAGGGAGACTGCTAAGAAGGTCAAATCAATTGGACAAACTTAGCATGGCCACCTTTTCTTTGGAGGCTGGTAATTTGCATAAATAAAGAGAGCCAAGACCAGATGGTCACCAGAGGAGCTAATGGTGGTAGATCCTTCTAAAAAGGGGCATGCATTTCTCCACCACCATTCCAGATGAAGATGATATCATCCAAGTATTCATTTGTGAAAAGGAAAACAATAGATGGTCCATGCTGGAACTGACTTTAAAAGAAGCAGATGCCATATAAAGGAACAGAAGAAGGCAAATACACTTTTCCATTATAATAAATAATTGCCACCATGAGCATGATCAGTATCATAGTAGAAGGCCATTTCTTCTTAAATGTGGAGCTGACTCTAGCTCCAGCACCATTCTCCCTACTTCTCACCAAATACCTGATTTTTTATCCCTTGAAAAATGGGTAACAGCAGCACACTTTCTCATTCCCATGGGAGCTTTGTTCAGAGCTGATGTGAGCTATATGACCTGTTTAAGCTGCCAGGAAGTATTAGTATTTCTTTAAAATGGAGATTGGGAGTGAAGGACAAAGGCAAAGAATTAGACCTTTTCACTTCCTCAGTGAAGAAAAAGAATGAAAGTAAAAAAGGCAATGTGGTATTTCCTGGAGTAGAAAAGCATTTCACTACTTACTTTATTTCTTTATAGGATCTGCCCTGTTTGACAACTTTCACCTTCAAGATCTCCTTTACTGTATGAAAGAAGAGGGAATAAAGCTTTCCAGTGATCTCTTTTTCAGAGATTGTGTGGTTCCAAACCCCACTGCTGACTGAATACAGGAACCTTTGCAGAATGATCTCTCCCTGCTTTTTCAGAAGCATCTTCTTAAGCAAGTAAATCCAGTTTTGATTAACTGCAGAACAGATCCCTGAGGAATGAGAGATGAGTTCATTTTTAAAAGTTGCAACAACCAGATAAGGATGTTCTCTATGTATCATGTTATCACAGTCACAAAACCTCCTTCTGGGAACCTCCAAATTGGGAAAGGCTGGCTTAAGCTAATAAATATATTGCATTATTGGCTTTAAGTTTTTCTTAAATTCAGTCTTTGGAATTTCAGTATGATGGGGTAGGCAGTCTGTAGCCATTGGCTCTGCTGGATTGGGTTTATGGAGTCCAAAACATCTACAGGATGTCAGGTTGGGAATGCATTCCAGCCAAACAGAAATACTCAAGAAAAGTGAGAAGCAGGTCCAGTAGGGAGTGGGTGGGGATTGTGTGTGTTCTTGGAAGAATCTTGACAGTTAGATAAAGAGGCTTGAGTGGTCGCAATCGGCCCTCTGTCCTGGGTTTCACCACTCCAGATCTTTGAAATATACATTTTAAAATGCATCAACACCCCAACACCATCTGCAAGTGTATAGAGATCTGCTATTGATTAATAAACTACAAACAGGTAGAAATAACTAACCAAGGCTGCAAATCCTATGCACAAATATTATGGATGCTGCAAATCCTAGTTTGTACTAATCTAGGGCATCAAACCCTACTGTGTGCTGCAGATGGGCCAAACACCCTTAAAAATAATTCTGTAAGAGCCATGCAATGTGATTTGACATATTATTGAGATTTAGAGCTTGTTTCAAGAAGCTTTCTTAGAATGTACACTGCATTTCAAAGTATTTGTGGGAGTGACGGGAAGTGGGGAAGGAGGAGGGTGCTTGGTGATGCTACCTTCTTCAGTGAGATAAGTGAATGCTACTTTAAGGAGCTTCATCACTACTTGATAACAGGAACAATGATTCAAGTACAAGCAGAAGAGCACTTAACTAAAGGGCATATTTATTCAGAGAAGGAGGGGGGAAGATGATTTTTAGAGAACAGAAAAGTTTGCATTAAAAAGAAAAACTCTTCTTGGGATTTATCTCACATACATAGGATATAACTATTGCAGTGACAATTAAACATAAATGAATTATTTAGAGCAAAACATTTCAGTTTCTTCCTTCATGTACCAGCATAATTGATATATATCACTAACTACCCGGCCCCATCCCAACCCCATCCAGATATGTTGCAGTGATGCTGGCATAGAAAGCGTGGCTCCATCCCACCTCATGGGCCTCTGCTGCTATGGGTGAATATTAAAACAAAGAATAGCCAAAGCTGGATATGCCCAAACTCGGAGAGTGGATGAAATAAGAAGAAATGTGGAACTGGTCACTTTCATTGGATATATATTGCTGGGGTCATGATAAATAATTTTTCTCTAAAACAGAATCTGATCTA